CAAGGTCATCGCATGTGACGAGGATGTGCCATGCCACTTGTCCTTGGAGTTTTTCTTTCTCTGGCTTGAGGGAAGAAAATGAGACAAGCAGCAGCAGCAGCAGCAGCAGCAGCTCTGGCCCCCTCAGCGAGGTTTTCCAGTCAGAGCGAATCCTCCCTCCTTCTCCTACAGTAACAGTATAGATCATCCTGAAGGTGACAGAGAGCCTCGCATCAGGATAACGGGCCTGGGGATGCAGGATCAAACTGCGTGCGTGTCACATGCATGCACTGTGGACACAGCAACCCGCTATTGATTATCTCTAGTGCCCCGTGGGACACACACACACACACACACACACACACACAGTGACGTTGGGTTGGATGGAGACAGTGCATACATCACTGATATTAATTATGATGATTATAGTTCGACTCTGGGAAGAAGAATGTGGAAGGAGCTGAAATTGAAGGACTGTATTGTATCGCTTCTGAGGTTACAGCGGCATGAAACTGCACTGCTGTGTGTGTGTGTGTGTGTGTGTGTGTGTGTGTGTGTGTGTGTGTGTGTGTGTGTGTGTGTGTGTGTAATGTGGTGGTGTAGGTCAAAAGAAGGGGGAGGGCAAGGAGGAAAGAATGATGACTTTTAATCTCACAGGACAAACGTTTGCAGTTCCCCCCACAGCTGGGCTCTCTGGTGGCCACATCTCCAGCATGTAGGCCAAGAAGATGACTGATGGACGTCACTCGCTGAACATCCTCAGACGAGCACCAACACGAACACACAAACAAAATATCAAATTAGTGAGTCAGGACAGTTTCGCCAACAGTTGGAGCCACCCTCACTGCCTCCCTGTGTGTCCCTGCCACTGACTGAAAGCTGTCCTGCCCACTCCGACTCGACACCAGCGGAGCAATTCCCGTGGTGGCAATTACACGGAGCTGCTATCTGTCTGTTTGTGGAGTGATAAACTTTTGCTGTCAGCAGTTAGCTTTTCTCCCCTTTTATGGAGGGGACCTGCTACAGAGGTGGCAGATGTTACTGCCCCAGAAAATAAACCACTTATTCATGCAGGAATTGTATATATTTTGCAGCCGCTCCACTGTTGGGGCTTTTTGGCTTCACATTTCAGAGTTAAAAAAAAAAAGGTATTTATCAACTCAGATATGCATCATGCAATCTTATTTTATTAGTATTATCCTAACTAATAGGTTACATCTGTCGCATTATGAATACAGATTGTTTTTAACTGTGTGATTGACATAAAGATAAAAGAAGAAAGAAAACATCTTCATCAATCTAGTAATACATGTACAGCACGAACAAAAAATGCTGCACAATTTAGTGTCGCATTTCAATATTTGGTTGTGTTTTGTGTGAGTTTTGTCTATTTTTTTGAATGAGTGTTTCTGTGTTTAGTTTAGTTGTCTGTATTTTCAGTATTTGGTGGTAGAGTCTGGATTTAGTTGTTTTTTTGTACTTCTCTCTGTATGCTGGTATTTTGGTGTGGATTTTTCTGTGTTTCATTATTTAGTGAAATGCAGCAGCTCATGAATGCCTGGAGGGAATTTCTTCACATTTGGCACAAATGTTCACTTGGACTCAGCAATGAACTGGTTAGCTTTTAGTGGTCAAAGGTCACTGTGGACTCACAAAACATATTTCTGGGCATAATTCGAGAATTTATACTGTAATTATGACAAACTTCTACACAAATGTCCAACTGGATAAAATGATGAAGTGATGACATTTTATATATGAAAGGTCAAAGGTCAGATCTGTATAGACATGGTTGTAAAGGCCAATTCATCAATTTATTCAAGAGTACACGTGATGTAATTTGCATCATCTATCCAAAGTCCTCAAGGTTCTGCTCTGCTTCACAAGAGCACAGGAAAACAACTGATTAATTAATCGTGATCCAAATGCTTGTTTTGAGGAGAGACTGTGGTAGATTCTCTGTTAGCCACACATTTATACGAGTTGATAATTAAAGTGGTCATTTCTGGACTTTGGAGGTGCTTTGATCTGTTCATGCTTTCCAGTGACGGACCTCTGAATTAGTGCTGAACTCTCCAGAAATCCTGTGCTTTGTCTGTCCACTGTACACCTCAGGAATAATCAGTGACAAGGAGCTTCTCCCAGACTGTAACTAACCACTATATGCTGTGAGAAGAGCAAGTCCATCCCGAGGGGCAGTGCGACTGTCTGCATAACGGACCGGCGTATACCTAGTGAAGCATGAATGGAAATATGTGCGTGTCCGCCTTCACGGTCTGCACTGGTGGAAACCATAAATTAACCTTAAGCTGCAGCTTGACTGGTTGGCAAAGGCATACAGTCATGAGGTGGGAAGTTTCACTTTGTAAGCTTCTAAATGCTGTCAAACTGATGTTGACGTTTTCTGTATTTGACTGTTTGCTGTGTTTTTATAAGACACATTAGAGCAGCACGAGAAGCAGGTTGAGAGTAAGAAAACAAAAGAAGCCCATCTATTCATCCATTATCTATACACCTCATAATCCTCATTAGGGTCACAGGGGGCTGGAGTTTATCCCAGCTGACTTAGGGCAAAGGCAGGGGACACCCTGGGCAGGTCACCAGTCTATCACAGGGTGACACTTACAGACAACCAAGCACACTCACATTCACACCTACGGACAATTTAGAATCACCAATTAACCTCAACATGTTATTGGACTGTAGGAGAAAGCCAGAGAACCCGGAGAGAACCCACGCTGCACGGGGAACACATGCAAACTCCACGCAGAAAGATCCCGGGTGTCCTCACCGGGATCTTCTAGCTGCGAGGCTACGGTGCTAACCACCGCTCCACCATGCAGCCCAGAAAAAGAAGTGTTTGATTGAAATAAGAAAACATAAAATAAAAAGTAAAGATATAGAAGTTTTTTCTACAATATATATAATGGTTTAAACTGGGAGAATTGCCCAAATATTTATGCAAAAGAAATCCAGACATTAAGTATTGATATACTGTATATAGTGTTATATAGAATATATGAAAAGTATGAACACACACTCACACACTGTATGATTTAAAATAGAATACAGTGTTAAAAATACAATCAGGACAACATAGTAGTAATGTATTATTATTATTATATAGTGATAATGCTAATATGAAGCAACGTGCGTATGTGCATTAGATATGTGTGCTACTCCTATTATACTATTGCTATTCATACTAATACGACTGATAGTACAGATTGTATAAAGTAATGAAAGTGAAGGTGCAGCTGAGTGCTGTAAAGTGTTACAGTGCTGCTATAAATCCAAGTACGTGTTAAACTTCAGAAATGTCACCATCTTACGGTTTATTTATGTTGTAAATGTCAGAACATATACTTTAATCTACAGAATACAATTCAGTGAGGAAACTCCTACAGTCCATTGTATGTTTGGTTTTCAAATGATTACACAGGTTCAAAAAGTATGCAGAGCTAAACAGCCAATCAGCGTCAGCAACACTGAAGCCTTAAACTGGTCACAGAAAGGAACAGCAACGAAGAGAAAACATAATAGACATTTTATATCTCCTGCTCTATAATATATCAGAAGTAGCTGTAGTTCTATCACACATGTAAACAACTACAAATGTGGCATAAAATACCATTGTAGTAACATGAAGATAGAAAAAATAAAATAATAATCATGCAAATCGTACAATGAAGTGCAATGCAGTCTCTTAAATAAGAACAAATTTGATAATCATGCGCGTAACACTCACCCAGTCCTCCAGCACAGTCACTAACAGGGAACACAGAGGAATCCTGACACATTACACTCTTTTCTTAATGGTTAACATCCATCTATCGATCTTAAAAATCCAGAACATTTTTAAAGGGAATTTAATCTGGTGAACACTTCAGTACCAACTAATGAATTATTTAACATTTTCATTTGCTTTTTATGTGAATTTTGGGAGAGATTTGCAGTTTATTTCCTGATGATCGGTGCAAAAGAAGCTCCACAAATACGCTGTCAATAAGCCATTAAAGCCTCAAAGTAGCACTGCACCGATTTAAGGCATAAAAGTTGAATTAAGGCAGAGGGGACTCAGCTGTCTTCTGTGGCCAAAAGGAAATGAAGAGAGAGAAGATTATAGGGGGACCAAACGGTGACTTTGGTGAATAACACTCAGGGATGTCAGTACAGTTGGGGCTTGTAATAAAAACAGCTGAGTTTGAAATATGTGCACATATATCAGGCTTATAGGTTTTTATAATGAAGATGCACTTGGTTGCATTATGGGAAATGTAGTAGGATGCAGGGTTTGGGGGGCTTGAGCCATTCAAGAGAATCAAGATGTCTCAGCCTGCTTAGATCAGTGTTTAAAAATCCGTTTTATTGTGAGACCTCGAACTTTGTGGAAGCTCAACACTAAACTGTAAGATTTAAAAGTCCAAAGGGAATAGGAGAATGCTTTTTATTTGTGGGTACATGAGTTTAAGCCTCTGAGTAAATGGCATTTATATCTGCTACAGAAATATTTCCTGTTAGAGATAGCTTTTTCTCTCCAAATAAGAGTGCACAATAGGCTTGAGGAAAGAGATCTCCATCATCCTGCGAGAACATTCCTGAAGCAGATGGAGACAGCTGCATCACAAGCTACAGTGTGAGAGAAGCTGGTGGAAGAAAAGCCACAATTTCTGATAATAAATGTTGTTTTTTCTGGATGTTGGTGGTAATTTTGAGTCAAGGAGGAACACAAGGAGTTGCGCTGCTCATCTCCTCGCTGAGCAGAGGTGTGTTTGTGTGTGAGGAGGAGGTGTAGCAGGTGGGTGGAGGGCGGCAGGCTACAAAATGAGAGAATGAGCCGCGCTGGAGGAGCAGATGTGAGAGGCGCACCACAGGAGCCCGACGCGCCGCGATAATTAGCCGCGGATACATTAACGGGAATTACCGGATTATGAGGATTTGAGGAGGAGAAGTCGCCAGAATCCGGTGTCATACAAGGCGAGGGATTAAGTTAGGCGTCTTCACTCCTCCGGTCTGCCGTTATGGGGATAGACCGGCGGCGGAGAGCATCGCTGGCTCTCACCTTGAACTTCCTCGCCTTGTTCCTGGCCGTGTCGGCTCTCACCACCAGCTACTGGTGCGAGGGGACGCGGAAAGTGGTGAAGCCGTTCTGTACCGGTCCGGTCACCACCAAACAGTCGTTCTGCATCAGGTTCAACAGCTCCAACATCAACGACACGCGGCTGGTGCAGTACATCTGGGAAACCGGGGAGGATAAGTACGTGATGAGGAAGTTTCACACCGGCATTTGGTTCTCCTGCGAGCAGCACATCAACATGACCGGTAAGTTTGGCACCGGGCTGACGGTGGCACCGGAGCGCAGCGGAGCGCACGGCCAGTGCGCACGGAGAGGTGCGTCAGGGAGAGTCACTCCGGTCCAGTAACCTGAAAAACAGCAAAGTCCTGGTTCCAGTTGTGTTTTTGTCATAAAACTAATTCATCCCGCTTTATCACACGCTGAATTTAGTGATTCATCTCAGAAATGACTTTGAATATCTTGATAAAATATTACAGAAGCTGATAACCTACATTGCAGGTTTTTCTCTTTCAAACGGTTTTAGATGCAGAACTTTTATGACAAGATCTTAGTGAACTCAGGATTCAGATGTATGGTCGATAAAGTACAAGGAAGTAGTTTTAAAAATCAGTCAAATTTAAAAAAGAAAAAAAAAGAAAAAGAAATAAATTTGAAAAGCTATATTAAATACATGATCGTTAGTAATATTTATAATAATTGAATTGAATTAAATGGAAAACACATGGAAATACAATTTGTGACATGTATTTCTATATCTCCATATAGATTTAGATACAGATATGAATATAGATATAATATCTGGATAAATCAATTAATCCTAGTGGCTCAATTTTAAACCCATCATAAAACGCTGAAGAATCAAGGTTAAAGCCATATAGCACCTCCTTCTAAGTTGATGTTTCATTTCCTTCTGACTACTGCCTGTGGAAGCAGTTCAGCTGATATATGGGGCAGAAACGCCAGCTGAGGGCTGCAAGGTCCCCCACATCTGTGGCCCTAACAATATGAGGCTGCAGAACGTGTCTTTCTCCAGAGCCCAAGGAAAGCATTTGCTGTGTTGACAGTAGAATCTGTGGCCAGTGTTCTGCTACAAGCTGCAGGAGAGGAGATTTTGACACGCTGATGGGGGGAGGGTGAGAGCTTGTTACTGCACAAACACAGAAAGGAAATCCCTTCACAGATTAGATCAAATTGTAGGTTTTTATTGTTATTATTATCTCACATACCTGATTTATCATTGTCTCAGAAAGTCTACCTCTGACTCTTTCTCATAATCTGGAAAATTAATAGCATACAGATGAAGTCCCTGTCTCACTTATCAGCATGTTGCAATCGTGTCTCCTGTCATTGAGTGTCAATTAAATGCCTAATTTATATTCTTTTACAGGTGAAAAATGCAGAAATTTCCTTTACGTTGCACCGTCAAATGAAAGAGGTAAGAATATATGTTTACATATATATGAACATAAACACACTGTCACACTGAGAAACTCTGATTTCATTGCCAGTCAGTGTAATGTAATCTCAGTGGTACAAAAACATGGGTTTAAGAGCCATGAGAGGCTGAGAAGTGGTGCATAGCAAAGAAAAAAACCTTGTTTTTTCAGTTTTGTCATCTTGAGACTTGAAATCCTTTGCCCTCTGTCAACATTATGGCTGTTTTCAGATAGCTCAAAGTAAGCAGCTTAACCTGAAGTGGACATTTTAAAAAAGGAATTTAAGATCCTTTGTCACTCTGATGAAATGCTGGCCAGCACTTTCTGCCTAGTCTGCCCAAGGTCAGTTGTTTCCACCCTGAAAATGACCCATAGGAATGTACACACAAGTTGGTTAGGTTCAGGAACAAAAAAAAAAACAAGTTGGTTATGTTTAGGCAACGAGCTATGTTTTAATTAACCCTTAAAACCTGACAGATGCATCCAGAGTCACTGCCCCTCTTCTTAGGTGGAATTTTTTAATGAAATAGTCAAAGAAAACTGGACAATTTGACCTTTCCAGTGATGCTTGTTGTGCTTCATTGAGTGACAAAGTGTCACCAAGAAAAATTAAAACATTACTCATGGAGTCGTCAGTGATTCAGATAATCACTTACCACCAGAAAGGCCAGAACCAAAGTTTTGTAACAATGTTTGTCATAATCATGCTGAAATAATCACATATTGAGGACAGATCAAGATTCTGCAGAGTAATATCTTTCCTTACACACTCCTCTATACATTTGTGACACTTATGATACAATAATGAAAACATATCTATGCTGCCATGCCGCAAAACATTATTTTCCTTCATATATAGATGCTTATAACAAATCTTTATGTATCATCAAATAAATTGATGGAGGATCCAGATAGCCGAGACTGTTCTGAATAAAACAAGGTACAGCATGTGTGACTAGACCATATAATGAGCAAGAACAGAGCTAAAAAGTAAAGTGAAAAGCCTGAAAACAGCCTAGGATTCATAGGGTTAAGAGGACCTTAGTTGTTATGGTCACAATAACAAACATGCAATTAAAGGTATGAAATACTTTTTTTTTTTTAGTCAGTTTAAAATAGGAAACAAACAGCAGGCTCCTGTGTTACCATCCAGTGTTTCATCAACCCATCCATCTGCCCTGACCTCCTTTAGAAATTAACTTTATGGCTCTACTACTACAGTCAGTCGTAGCCCACCCTCAGACAAATACATGATTTTTGTGTTGTTTTTTTTTCCTCCCCACATAACATTTTTGTAAAAAAAATCAATTCCTGCTGCTAGTGACACCACAAAGCTGTGGACTAACTAATGATTGCACTGCTAGGCAATAAGTAAAGTGTTGTTCTACCAAATCAATCACTTCCATGAGGTGTCATCCCACCTCATCAGCTCCCTCAGCTCTGCTCCTGCGCTGAAACCTTGAGCATCCTCATTGTTTAGCCTGAAATTCAGTTTCCTATTTCCTGCATTATTCAGTCTTACAATGTGGTCCTGTTACTTGTTTTCTGTCAGGGAGGGGCTGTTGTTTTGACAATTTCATTTTCAGTCGACATGGAAGCTGCTAAAGCGGTTGCTAGGAGCAGTTTAATAAATGGTTGTTCGGTGGATGGAAGTAATGAAGCTATTTGAAGGAATATGTTGTGAAAATACGCTTTCATTTTAAGAGTTAAATGAGAGTATTCTGGGGCTGAATAAGGAGCTTGAAGGTATTTAGCTTAGCATAAAGACTAGAATGCTCACATAGACAAATAAAATGGTAACAGAATCCATTTACCAAAGACTGCTCGCTAATTCACACTTTTCTAATTTCTTAATTTGTATAAGGTGAGGCATAGCTTTCCGGGACTGTTCTGGCAATGCATTAAAAAAATTACCCCATAAGTCATATATGCAAGCAGCTTATTATGACCCGTACATGTTACATTTCATGTGACCATCACCATTATGACAAGGACAAAGGAAGAAGTGAGGTGAGGTAGTTATGAGGCAGCTTTCTAGCACAGGAATTCAGGGCACATGGTGGGGCAACCATTCACTGAAACAACCCTAGTTGGCCATTTTAGCATCTCTATGCTTTTTTCTCCCCCAAAATTGTCCCTGAAGGAGGTTCTACGGGGCGGATCCTGCGGTCAGAACATGCACAAAGGTTCTAGCCGACCTAAAACAGCCCATAAGTTATTGCAGTGGAACACAGAATATAGATTCACAGAGTCTGCATAGGGAGGAGGTTGGGGTAAATGGATGGGTCAACAAATAAGTAGACTTTAACGGTGAGTTCACCATTCATTTTAACCACGAATAACTCTTTGTGTTTATTACTATACAAACAATAACAGTGGCATATTTCATGCCAAACCCTGATATTTCCCTAAATCTAACAAAGTTATTTTTGTGCTTTAACCTAACAAAGCACAAGTGAAAAATATTTGGGTTATAATTTTCAGTGTGGCTATAAATTTTCAGTAAAGCTTTATTTTAACTTAGCGTATTATGTTTATTTGCTTGAGACCAAAAAAGACACAAAAAACATTACTCTAAAAGAGAGAAGAGATTTATTGTACCAGATTTAGCCCGTAACTTAACAAAAGAGACATCCTACCAACAACTCATATCAACTTTATATATTTTTTTCTTATTCTTTTACTCATAAATTTGCCTCAGGGCCCATAAAGGCCTAAACTCTACCATTAGACCATCAGTTCAGGTAGAAAAAAAGTCCCTTTAACAGGCAAGAAAGGACAAATGCTTGTTTGAAACTCTCAGTGCCATAGACATGTTCTTTGTTAATGTGAATACGCACTGTTTATTTCTCACACACTGTGTTGCTGTCAGGAATATTCACTTGTGGATTTATCCACTATTGAAAATAGATCTCAACAAATGCAATATTTCTTCATGTTTGAGTCATGTTTGATAAGAACTGCCCAGCTATTTTTGGAAATCACCAAGCCTTTTATAAAGATGAGACTATATGTATTAAAACACTGTAGGCAGTGGGCTCAGAGCAGAGCGTCTAAGACAGCACTAAGCATCTAAGACACATTGTTGGTTTCAGCGTTTCCATGGGATTTGTTCTCAAAAAGAAATCGATTAAAAAAACACCATCTTTATCCTTTAATCCCACCTACATACCTCTGATTGGATTGGCGCTTTTTCCAAGTACGAAAACAAATGACAATGTGCACCTATGTTAATCGCTGAAAAAAATCCAAGATGTGGGCAGCAATTTAAAGATCTGTAACCAGGCAACTCCACGTTTATCTCTCCTCAAAGAAAAAAACGACACTGGCTGAACTAAAGAGATATTCAGCTGCGGAACAACGGCTTGGATGCCAGGGTATTGAAACAAGATGGTGTTCTTTTATCACACAATCCCATTTGCTTTACATCCCGTTGGGATCATCCGTCTCTTTTGCTGCAGTTTGGTCTTCATGCCACTGCACCACTTACTGGTATCATATCATTAAAATATTAGATATATCAAAGCAAAGCAAGGGGGTAACTTATGAAATGCACTTAATTGCAGACAGTTTTAAGGCCTTCAAGGTCCCCTAATAACATTTCCTAATCCTTTCCAACTGCCTACTCTAGATTTAATTGAAGAAATCCTTTACTGAAGTGTGGAATTCAATTTAGAGCAGGTTTTTTAAGAAAAGGCTTTTTTTTAGCTGACGGATGTAACTCAATTCATAATTCATACGGGGATATTTTGGGTAACAGGCATATTACTTTTATTACGCACCTTGTGATTAATTAACCACACAATAACTGCCTGCCCTTGGGTGATATATGCAATTACACCACAGCTTACAATTACACGTTTTGAAATCCGCTGGTATTTCGTCCTACCACGCAGACAGATCCTAGCTCCGGATGTTTTGCGTCTCCGAGTGGATCATATATCCTTTCTCTGACTGTGAAGGTTAATGATATGGGTGATGGGGGTCACCGGTCCACATTTCTCCACTCAGTCTTCCTCTGCTTTCTCTTTCTTCCCTGCCTTCTCCCTTGCATACCCATATCCTTCCTCCCTTCCCTACCCCACCGACCTCTCTTGTCTCTCACCCCTACACCACCCTTTCATCATTCACTCAACCATGCGCACCTCCAACCCTACAACATGAAGCTGTCTGTTTTTTTTTGTTGTTTTTTTTTCTTCCTCTTTGCTATTCCTTTGGCATAACCGATTGTCTCCACAGGAGTGCTGTGGCTGTGCATTGTTGCCGAGTGCCTGTACATCCTCCTGCTGGCCACCGGGGGCATCCTCATGTCCATAGAAGTGTGTCACTTTGGCAATGTCATCGACGGCCTCAAGCTCAACGCCTTCGCTGCCATATTCACTGTGCTCTCAGGTGAGAAGCGATGTGATTTGTGATGTCTTTGCATTAGAGTGGAGTACAGTGAAATGAATCAGATCAAAATGCTGGGATTTGATGGTGGCAACATCTGTTCTGCTTTCTGGGGGTTGTGAGAGTTGACATGGAATTTAAGTTTCCCTCACTTTATGTTCAAGGAAAACTTTGCAAATGCTCTATTGTTAGCATCTTTTCAATTTACAAAAGAGAATTACTCCTTTGTTTTTCTTAGACAAATTGTAAAAGGAGAGTCTACAAGCCAAAGAACATCACGGCCTGTATAGTCTACATGCCAGGAATGTTTTGTTATCAGACATGACACTTTGTCCTGTTAAATTTACAATCTGCAAGCATGAAAATTAGGTTAACTATCTTCCACCCAGAAAGAGGAAAGTAATTAACATTAACATCATTGTGTGAGTCAGTCGCTGCACACTTTGCTTGTCCTAGACGTAGACTACGTATAACAGATGTAGCCTCTGGGTCTGAATACTGAAGCCACCGCCTTCCAACCGTGCATTCTTTCAAACAACCAGCAGAGGGCGACTCCTCTGGATGTGTAATGTAACAGAAGTGTGAGGAAATAACCCTACTTCTCACTTGATTTTTTTTTACCTCAGTAAGCATTTTCCTAATAAGTTTCTGATCTCAATCTATGGTTTCAAGACCTTGTCAATACAGCGTGGTGTTTATTTTGTAAATTATGGTCTTGTTTAAAGGAAAATATATGATTGAGTATAGTGGCAAAAGGTCAGACTGTCAGAACTCACTGACATGTAATCATGCTGTAGCACTTATACGTTAGTTAGAGACTCATATTACAACACAGTGACATACATATTAGAAATAGCACTTCAGCTATAAGACTTTGGATGGGCTTTTTTGTGCTTTTGGGCAGTATTTGAGAACCTTTTACCACAGCCTGTAGAGCCATATTGGCCTTTTTAAACATCTTTTTAATGAGTCTACATAGTTTGGGTTATCAAGCCAATAGAGGTTTAATCTGTGTGCCCCTCTAGAATGCTCACTGAGGTGTTGTTGGTATTCCATCTAGCAAACTAGGCTATGTATCTTCCACATATAGTTAACCTCATTTGCTAATGTCAGTGCCATTTCCACTCCTGCTAAGTCATTGGCAGCACCTGCACACGCTGTATTTGGTTTGTCCTGAACTGTATAATAGGTGTCAAATGCATCATTGTGTAACCTCAGTGTATGTTGGTGTGTGATTTACATGACAGCTCAGAGTAAGAGTCACAGAATGAGAGGGAAATGTTCGAGAGACTAAATGGCTAACAATGTCTGTCTCCAGTTAGTGCCTGTGTGGTCATTGTAGTTTCATAGTTTCTTGGTTTGGGCCCTTACAAGCGATTGTTGTAATATTATCAGTCCGCCCCAAAGAAAACATTTTCATCTTTACTTTTTTGTAATTACATCTTTGGCCGAGTAAGTATACGATGAGAACGCAAAGAATAGGATATATGTACTGATTTTATTTCATTTCAGTTCAACTTTAAAACAATTGAGTCTTTAGTCCTGCTTCCATTCTGGCATTAGTCCAATCACATATCCAGGCCAGTTGCAGCCTCTCGCTCCCTGAGAAGATTCCAGTCAGTCTGCAGTCTGCCTCCCTCTCTCGGTGGAGGAATTAACAATGACCTTCTCTCTAATCCACTCTGTGAAAATGATCCCAACCACCACACTCTGGGCAGTGAATCAGCACTGAAAGATACTTGGCTGCACAGCGGTGACTTGCAGCATTTTACTGTCTTGACAGGTCAAATTCAAGAAATGTCTAAAGAAGCAATAGGCTGAAGAATTGTACCCTCTGTGCAACCTTGGTCCACACGTTAAAGCGTGTTCTTTGATGTTTAAATTTTGTAACATATGCACTGCTTTCATTTTATTCGAAACTCCCAAGTAGTTCTAGTAAGGTGGCTTTTTGACCCTAGAATACTTTGACTTCCTAAAGGCCTGGAGTAAAATGGATATTCTAATGGATCCACTTCACACTTTCTTTGCATGAATGAGATTTTTTTTTTAAAGTTAGCCACAGTGTTTGGACCCTTGTGGTTCCTTGTGTTCTTGCCAGAGTTTGCATTTCCCAAATCTCTACAGCAAATGTGAGTAAAACATATTTACATCAAAAGGCATAACGGACAACAAAAAGTAGAAAACGACAGGTTGACAAAGTACAGAGTTTCCCTTCATGTCTCCATTGGGCTTAAAGTCGCTGTTGTATTTGGGTTTGTAAGCAAGTTTTGTGTTTCATAACCCATGTTGCATTATGTGTACAGAGGAATGCCCCTGATCCGCAAACCAAACTTAGATTATTAGTATGTTCTTACTAGTGACAAAGATCTGGAGAAACTCTTTATATAGACATGGCTATTTAGAGCTTTCTGAGCCCCAGGCTGCATATTGATCAGTCTGGAGTTGGAGTTGGATTCTCCTACTCTGACAAATGCATTGATTTTTTAACAACTAATCATTTAGGTCCCCTTTGATCTTGTTGGCATGTGAAGCAATGAACAGACTACATCCTTACTGGTTAAATATCCTTCAAACCTTGTTAGTGTCATGTTGTATTTTTGTATATTTTTTTAATCTAAAGTAGTAGTCAAGAAAAAATTAAGAGCCAAATCTGGAATTTTAAGTTATACATACATATACTACCTTGTTGTAAATACTCACAAGTACACTAAATATGTATTCATCCACTGCTGAAAGTAGTCCCTACCAAATATATAATTACCCCCATCTGTGTAACATTCAGTGAAAAAAGCTGATTAGAGAAAATATTCACAGTAAAAAATGAATTCTATATTTGTGACCAATGTTTAAAAATTAAATAATCAAAGGGCACCAACAGGCAAGATTTTGAATCACAGACAGAGTTTGGTTTCTCATGAGTTTTAATGGTGCTTAAAGTTTTGTTTAAACTAAACTACCTATTTGTGTCACCATTACTGTTACTGGTCTTGCAAACTACTCGGAAAATGTATTCTGATTACGTTTTGGCAAGTTGAGCCCAGCAGCAGCAGCTGTTAACACTGTATTGGCTTCTTGTCGCCTCATAAAGTTGTTATGGCTAATGTGTTAGCAAACAGTTGGAAATCCATGCTTGTAGCAGACAAAGTGAAACATTAGCATTCATTTGGATTCATGTTTCTGGTCACTTAGCAAATGTTAATCTAAATTTTGACCACATCGTTACTTTTGTTTCGGGTTCTCACTAACTTCGGAGACAAATATCTTAGCTTGCTAACCTGGTCGTCTGCCGTTTGGTGAGTGGGCAGGTCGGGCGTAATTCAGTGTATCAGTGCTTTTTTCACTGAAAAGATCTGTTTTGTGGCAGCTGATAATTAGTTTCTAGTTAAAGTGGTGAGAATGAACCAAAACAGTAAAATTCAATTCAATTCAAATTCCCTGAAACAAATTATAGAAGACAGTTGTATTTAGGTTTGTTGCGAGGAGTATGCTGGCTCACATTATACATAGTTTTATTTTAAGTAAAATGTGTTTATATATGTTATATAGTTTGCATAGCAGTTTAAAAGTAAGGGTTTTTTAAGAGGGTAAAAAAAATCAAACTTTATTTAGAGCAGCTTTAATGTAAAGATTTTCAAGAAAGTTAAAAAAAAATTAAAAATGGATTAATGCAGCTTTAAGTTTAAGGTTTTCAACAAAGTGTAAAAACTGACATTTTCATTATTTGCAATTGTAATGTAAAGCTGTTCAAGAAGGCTAATTCAAATCTTCCCTACAGCAAGTGTTGGACCAAATATTTTGGCACTGAAACAGGAACAGGGAACACAGTATCCTAACTAACTCCCACTTGCCTCTTCTGCTGCGGTGGACAATGGTTGGAAGTCTTACAAGGTGCTTAACAGCCTTGCACAGATTCCCTTAACAGAAAGAAAAGAGCACACACACATAGAGCTGACAGCATCTTCAGAATCAGTGTATCACCACAGGAGGAGACTTCTGACCATCCCTCAGTCATCTTGTTGTGCCGTCCTCATCTTCTGTTTTGTTGACAGGAGTTGAACCTAGCGTGCCTCCTGCCGCTGTAGCACCCTTAAAATCAAGCTTCACTGAGTTGTGTTTTCATGCACTTGCCCTGGCGTTTTGCCCGCTCTAACTTTCAGTCGAATAGCAACTGAACCCCTCAACCCCGTCAGCATTGTGCTATGTTTTATTTATACATGGCTCAGTGTCTGGAGAAGTGAGCTGCTTGCGTAAACGGAGGAGGTGAACCCTGTAAAGTTCATACTGAATGTAGTTTTTTTTTTTTATGCTTCTGAAAAAGGAATCATTTTGATATTTTTTGTATCATCCATGGCGGCGTGTTGAGCTTTTAAACGGCTTCCAAAGCTTGCGAGATTGCGAAGGGGTTTAACTGTGCTTGTAAAATGTTCGAATCGGGAAAGGCTTTTTAAAGTTGTTTCTGTTTTTAATGGGGTGAATAGATTGAGAGCGCGTATGGTAATGAGGTCCAGAGGAACAATAGAAACAGACTAGATTAACCTTTATTACAGCTGTCAATCATGTGGAATATAATGAGAAATAATGAAGAGGATGTGTGAGGTGATGACAGAAACAAGAAGTGGGGGTAAGCGAGACAAAGGGAGCACTCGTTCCGACGTGAAATACGAACTTGAACTTACCTGATCTTGGCTGATTAAAATTTCCCACGTCTGTTAGAAACCTGGTATTCACAAAACAACACAAAGCTGCTGATTTTATAGCCAAACAAACCCGGTGATGCCTGTGGGATTGATTATTTGTACTCATAGTAAGAGTGGCCATGACTGCAGACTGGACTGCCTTTGTCTGTTTTCAGTTTGACAGTGATGTGTTTATGAAAGAAAATGATAGAGAGCGTGGCTTGTTAATGTCTGTACCAAGTGTTCCCTTCTCAATACAAAAATCAGTGCATTGATTCATTCAAGACAAAGCCACATACACATGTAGATTTTCAAAAGCGGCAGATA